CCCCAAAACCCCAAAACCCCAAAACCCCAAAACCCCAAAACCCCAGTTTGAGGGAATTATTGAAATAATAATTCGCAGCATGTTTGGAAACATCGATGACCAGGTATTCTAACACTTCTTAGTCTTAAAAATGTCCATTCTAGTGGATACTATCAACATTGGTTCAGGACACATTCTATATTCCGATTTCTCTGCTTCATATTCCTACTCTGACTAATATGAATAGGACTATATCCTCAAAAGACTTGGAGCAGAGTAGGTTGAGTATCCTCATAGACATAGAGCAAGGAAGAATTTAGGAATTGATCTTCCCTTTACAGATCAATCTAAGTTAACTACTAAGGCACAGAACCCCAGCCTCAGAGCAGTAAGATTTAATTTCAGTTACTAAAACCTAAATTAGGTTAATTACCTACACATTTGCTCTTTTAGGAAGACACATTGGATAAAGAAATTGTGAAGACGGATAGAAAATATGAAAGACCTCCTACAGAGTAAGTGTCTTAGCTGTGGAAATTGGCCCTAATGAGCTTAGAGTCAAAAGTGTGAAAAAGATTTTATTTTGAAAATAAATTTCAAAAGTCACATTTTCATCCAAAATATTGTAATCTCAGAAATTTTATGCATTTTATGGAATAATTTTATCATAGTCAAATAATTCAGCTAAAGCCTGTTGAAGAACTTCAGTCCACTGCTTATAATCTTGACAAAGCAAAGTTCTACGGAATTAAACCAGATGAGGACAAAACTTTTAAGAAAAATAGTGCAGAATTCTATACAGGTAGTGGAAATCCTGCAAGAATTCCTCCAAAGGATATCCTTACCAAAAGAAGGTCTACAGTTGCCAATACTGGCCATGCTATAATGAAGTCTCCTTCTCATGGCTCCTTGCCTAGAGTAGAAGAGAAGGCTTATAATCCTATCACAGGCGAATTCGTTGATGGCTCTGCTGACATGGCCAATAAATCATACTTACGGGGAAGGTAGAGGACTGTTTATCAATATTTAGGAATAACATGAATGCAAACATCAACAGGGCACAAGCTTTAAAAGGAGTAAAGAGTAAGGATAATTCTAGCCAACCCTCCTATGGCTCTGGATTAATGAAGAAGAAAGAGATCTTCGGAATCAACTCTAGCACACTAAACTTGGGTGTGAGAGCATCTAATGATTTCTCCCATGGTATTGCTACTAGAAGCCTGACCTTAGCTCCTTCAACCTTTAAGAAACCAAATGAGGCCTTCAATAGATCAATCAAGTTCCAAAGGGAAAGCGATAGATATGCAGATGCAAGTAATGAGAAGGCATTCGGTGTCATTAATGATCAAGGATATCACAGAAAGACCGATCTAAGCAAGCTGACTTATAACTCTATCTCTGGCAAGTATTACACTTTTGCTTAGAAAATTATTTTCAATATGATCTTACCTCCACGGGGTTTTGGGGTTTTGGGGTTTTGGGGTTTTGGGGTTTTGGGG